CCACGGTAACCGCTGGAGACTGAATATTTGCGTTCCCCCTTAAATCCATATGGTGAAACCTAATCCCCAGTGTGTTGGTCTTTGGAGGTGGGGTTTTGGGGAGGTGATTAGGCAATCAGTACTCTTATAAAAGAGACCCCAGGGAACTCCCTTGCCCTTCCAACAAGTGAGAAGACAAACCATCCACAAACCAGGAAACCATTCCTTCCTAGACATTGAGTCTGCCAGCACCTTGATCTTGGACCTCCCAGCCTCTAGGACTATGAAAAATAAATTTATGTTGTTTATAGCCACCCAGTCTATAGTATTGTTACGGCAGCCTGAGCAGATGAAGAGAGCAACATTTTGCAAAACTATACTATCTCAAGGATACTGACATTCGTATAATCCACCAATTATTTGGATTTCCTAGTTTTGTACTCATTTGTGTGTGTATATTAATTCTATACAATTTTGTCACCCGTGTAGGTTCCTGAAGCTACCACCACAGTAAAGGAAACGAACAGTTCCAACACCAAAGGATCTCTGGTATTGCCCTTTTATGACCATGCCCACCTCCCTCCCTCCATTTCATCCCTAGCACTTGGCAATCACTAAATCTGTCTTCCGTTTCTAAACTCCTGTCATTTCTGAAATGTTAGATAAATGGAACCATGTGGCATGTGGTATTTTGGGATTGGCCTTTATTATTATTATTATTATTGCCCAGCATAACCTAGCCAATTCATCCAAGTTGTCATATATCAATAGTTTGTTCATTTTGATTGCTGAGTAGTATTCTATGGAATGGATAGACCATAGTTTAACTCTACCTGGCGAAGCACATTTGCGTTGTTTCCAGTTCTTGGCTATTATGAATAAAGCTGCTATAAACATGTGTAGAGGGTTTGAAGTGCTCAGGGAAATGGAATTAGCTACCACATTCTGGGGACCACAGGGGCTTACTGGGTCCATCATTGTTTCTAAGGGCTTTCAAGTGGACAGAATTAGGATATACTTTTCGGGGCACTTGGTGGCTCAGTCGGGTGTTTGCCTTCAGGTCATGATCACAGGGTCCTGGGATTGAGTCCAGCATGGGGCTCACTGCTCAGCGGGGAGCCTGCTTCTCCCTCTCCCTCTGCCTGCCACTCCCCCTGCTTGTGCTCTCTCCGTCAAATAAATAAATAAAATCTAAAAAAAAAAAAAAAGAATTGGGATATACTTTTCAATTTAAACTAAAATACACCAAGAGTTCGTAAGCTACTTCCTAAATTCAAGACAACAGGGAATTTGTATAACACCATTGATTTTGTGTATGTATCTCTTTTCAGCTATGCCAAAATTCCAGTTCTGATAATATCAACATAATTATGTTTTATCCTACACATTTTCACAGGTTCCTAACATGACTACTGAACATAATTTAAAATTTTAAGGCAGGTTTTTTTTTTTTTAGGTTTTATTTATTTATTTGTCAGAGAGAGAGCACAAGCAGGGAGAGTGGCAGGCAGAGGGAGAAGCAGACTCTGCGTTGAGCAGTGACCCAGATGCTGGACTCTATCCCAGGACCCTGGGATCATGACCTGAGCCGAAGGCAGACACTTAACGGACTGAGCCACCCAGGCGCCTAGGGTCTGATTTTTAAAAACTAATTTTTGTCATATAATAATAGAAAACATAGGTTTCCAAAGTCAAATACACAAAACAAACTATATTCAAAGTCTAGCCTGTTTTCCTTTTATTCTGTTCTCGCCTTCTCAACGTCAGTAACCATGAAAAGTTTTTGAATTATACTTCCACTTAAAAAAAAAACAACCCGCAAGTATTTACATTTGTAACTCTCTACTCTCACAAATGAATAGTAGAGGGAATTTTCATACTTTCTTTTTCTTCTCTTCAGCAGGAAAGCCTGCAGAGTGTTTCACCCCAGAGATCCTCGGGGACATTTTCTGTGTGTAAAATGCGGGCAGCTATGCATTCCACCTGATCTTCCACAGCAGTTTCTGGTAAGATAAAGCACGAGAAAACTATCAAACTGCAAAGTGGTACCCAAACGTGCCTGTTGACTGAATATTAACCCCTTTTGGAGAGAGCCTCAAGAGTCATGCGCCCGACTTAGCACATTTTGCACAAGAAGAAACAGAGGCTCACAGAACTGAGAGGACCTGCCCCAAGGAACACAGGGAACGGACAAGCGATCCAGTCTCCTGCCCTGTAGTCTAGAAGTCCAGGATAAATCCACCGAGACTTTCTTTTTAAAAACTGTATTCAACATACAGATACGTATTTTTACAGAGACGAATACTGTAGGGAGCCCTCGAAGGGGTAAAAGTCACAAAAGGCCAGAAGGCGGAACGAGGCAGTTAGCCCGTGGGCAACCACGAACGCCCAGAGTCCCGGGAAGGGGCCCTGGGCTGGGCTCGGCGAGCCCCGCCCTCACTCATACTGGGAAACTGGTCCCAGTTCCGAGGAACGCCAGGAGATGCTGCGGAGGCGCTGACGAGGGAGGGCTAATGCGGGGCCTCCTGGCCTAAAGCTGTCTATTTGGCACCCCGACAGAAGGGACTGACAGACACACTCTGGACTCGAGCAGAAGTCAGGTAAAGACTCTGCAGGACACTGACGCCACATCCAGGTTTCCGAAGGAGAAATGGTCCTCGTGAGGACCCGTAGGGCTTCCACGGGAGGCGGTTCCGAAACTCCGGCCTAGGGGCCGGGCCGAGGCTCTGCGGGCGGAAGCCCGCGGGAGAGAGGGAGCCGAGCAACGGAAATGATGCTTAGTAGCGCCAATGGGATGGAGCGGGGGCTGGTCTTCCCGCCCCATTGGGTAGGGGCAAGCGGTTTCCGGTAGCGGCATCCGGGAGGGGCGGTGGAGGGGGCGGGGTGGCGATTTCGTGTCCCGTGACCCCTGGCCTCTAGAGACCTTGCACCCCGGCAGCCACACCAAGATGATGGGCTGTGGGGAGGCCGAGCTGGAATCGGTCGGAGGGGAGGGGGCATTGGCGGCCCCCGGGCCACCCCCAGAACCCCGCGCCCCGGAGCCCAGAGCCCCAGTACCCGAGCCTGGCCTGGACCTGAGCTTGAGCTCGCGGTCCGAGACCCCCGAGCGTCCCGGCCAGCGGAAGGGGCGGGCGGACCGGCGGGGCGGGGCCCGTAAGGGGCGGCAGGTGAGCTGGGGGAAGGCCTGGCCGCCAGCCCGCAGGCAAGCCCGTGCCCGCCTATTCACCGTCCCGTTCTCTGCTCCCAGGTCCGCTTTCGCTTGGCGCCGCTCTCCCCCGTGCGGTCCGAACCGCCGCGGGCCGCCGCAGCACCTAGCGAGAAGGCCGCGGCACCGCAGGACCTGGGGGCGCCCGCGCAGCAGAGCAGCCTGGCTTTGAGCCTCGAGTTGCAGGCGGCGCGGGCTGCAGCCGGCAGCCAGTTCGATGCCGCGAAGGCCGTGGAGGAACAGCTGAGAAAGTCGTTCCAGACCCGCTGCGGCCTGGAGGAGAGCGTGGCCGAGGGTGAGAGAGAGACGGCCGGCGGGGCGCGGGAGTGGGGATGAGAGGCGCCGCTCACCCCCACTCCCCACTGCGGTCTCAGGGCTGAACGTGCCGCGCTCCAGGCGGCTCTTCCGAGACCTGGTGAGCCTGCAGGTGCCCGAGGAACAGGTTCTCAACGCTGCGCTGAGGGAGAAACTGGCGCTCCTGCCACCGCAGGCCCGAGCCCCGCCCCCAAAGGTGAGGGACCTGGTTCTGTTTCTGTGTCGTTCCCCCTTCCCTTTCCCGAGTGTAACCTTGGCTTTGGGCTCCGATTCCCAACAGGAGCCACCTGGGTCAGGGCCAGACATGACCATCCTTTGTGACCCAGAAACATTATTTTATGAGTCTCCACACCTGACCCTGGACGGTCTGCCTCCTCTCCGTCTTCAACTCCGGCCCCGCCCTTCAGAGGATACCTTCCTCATGCACCGGACACTGAGGCGATGGGAAGTGTAGACGTGGAGGCTCCCTGGATTGCTAATTAATATTTTTGTGTTAAAACTATTTTTCAGAATAAAGTGGTTTTTGCTAACAAATGGGACTCTTCTTGGGAGCCTTAAAATGGGGTCAGGCCTCAGGATGAAAGCTGTCTGGAAGTCAAGTTTTTGGCCTTTTTGGAACTTGGTAGTGATGGCAAGTTGAGAACACTGTCCCACCTCTTCCCCTTTGCTCATAGGTCCACGTCGTTTCTTTGCACTTTTTTTTTTTTTAATAGTGAAAGCATGCGTGAGGGGTAGGGGGAGATGGGAGGGGGCAGAAGGAGAGCATCGCAAGCGGGTTCCACGCTCAGCGCCAAGTCAGAAGCAGGACTCCCAAGAGTCTGATGCTCAACCCACTGAGCCACTCAGGTGCCCCTGCACTACTTATTTCTGATCACTTTAACATGTGGGTGGGTCTCTGTTAAACTTCAGGGAGTCCTTCCCTAATTACCTGGCTCAAGGACCCTGCAAGGCAGCTGGCTATTTGCACCCAGTTATTGAAATTACTTCCTTGCTTTTACCTCTAGGGGCCTTGCCCATCTTGTTTACACCAGATCCAAGAGTGCTCAATATTTGTTGAATGAATATTCAAAGTTCCAGGAACACTTGAGGAGCTGCTGAAGAGTTTCATGTTAATTGCCTATTCATCCAGTTGCACATCACAAAAAAGGTGGGTGGGGGGTCTGATTAGTAGTGCCTTTTCCTAGCTCCACTTCAGCTCCACTCTTAATTCTTCCAAAGTTAGCCTTCTGTCCAAAGCTCCCACAAAAAAATTGTCAGTGGGTTTTTTTTGGGGGGGGGAGATGGACTCTTTGCTTCAAGTTTCACATAAAAATTCACATTGTATCCCTCCTTCCTGATTCTGTTTAGTTGTATGTAGATTTGACTAGCATTCAACACTCAATCTTCCCAACCACTGAAAAATCTGTCCTCTTTTTGAGACTCGTTTGGACAGAGGAAGCACAGGTTGTAATGAGAGGCACCATCCCTTCCCCATTAGCTACAAAGTGCCAGACACAAGTGTGGGGGCCACTGCCCTAAAACATCAAATTTATTGTGCTGTTCTTACATTCCAAACCCAACCCCCTCTCCCAGTGGGGGTCAGCAGAGGGAAGGATTTTCACAGTACCTGCATGCCTCCCTGCCCAACTTCCCCCTCTTAACCCTCAGTCCATTTATCTGTGGTCGCTGAAATGCAGCTAGGGACAAGGGCTGAGGAGAAATGGAAATCTCCTTTGGAGAACAGGAGGAAGAGGCTAGAGAACTTGATACCCGCCACCCCACACCAGAGGAGAACAGAGGTCAGCAAACAGTCCATGCCATCCAGCCCAGTGAGCTGGGGGAGAGAGGAAGATGTTGGTAACTCCAGCACAGCTGGGCTTGCTGGTTAGGGTGCCAGAGGTGTAGGGAGGAGGCTGGGGCAGCAACATAGGAAAAGCGTTCTCTGCAGATCCATGAAAGGAAACTCTTTTTTTGGAGCCAAAAAGGAAAGACCTTGGGATACTTTCCTTTCCCCCCAGGTCCTTAAGAGCAGTGGGCAGCTTCTTCACACTTTCTGTTCAGGGGGCCACTTAGTGGCTGGGGGAACGGGCCTTGTGGAACAGGTACACAGAACGCTGGAAGCCTGGGGAGAGAGTGTGCAATCAATAGGGCTGGCGGGACTTCAAGACTCCACAGGATCTGCATCCTCTCTGCCAAGACCCACCTCACCATCCGCGGCCCCCCATCCTCTCCCAAGTCAGCCAACCTTACCTCTGGAGGTGTTGTGGGGTGTAGCCACAAGCTCATAGCTGGAGAAGCCCACCTCTGGGGATGTCAGGTAGGAACTGAACTGCTCTGGCCTCAGCTGGATTCGATAGTAGTTCTTATAGATTGTTTCCTAGGGAGAAGGGCAGGGAACCACTTCAGCTTGCTGGCTTCTCTCCTGGTGTAGAATGATGAACATCCAGGGGAACTATTCATCTTGTTCAGAAAGTACTTCTCTTTCTGTTTCCTTGAGGCCTTTCTTGCCCCAACTAAAGGAAGGATATCCCAATATCCACCCGAATCCCAACTCACCGTGAGAGTCTTTCTCTTGCCATAGGATGACCAAGGTTGGGGCTCTAGGACCAGGATGCCCCCAGGATGTAGATGCCGATAGATCCGGCGAAACATGCGCTTTAGCCCCTCATCTCCCCAGTTCAGATGCACCCACTTGGTGAGGCTGAGGCAGAGCACCACATCATACTCGGGTGTTTGGGCCTCCACCAGCTCATCTCGATCCAGCACATAGTTACCCTGAAGCAAGAATTGGGGGCAAGGTCAACAGAGGCAATAAAAAGAACCAGTGCCCCCCCCAAACCTGCTCTGCAGCCTGTTAAGACAGAAAGTCCTATAGCCTTACCTTAGCCCTCAGCCACAACCTTCTCTGACACTTGTCAGACTAACTCCCAAATGGTGCCCTCTTGAGTCTCATTTTCTTGCTTTACAATCTCCTGCCCCTGCTTTCTGTTGGTGGTAAGCCAAACATAAAAAGGGAGCGTGGAAAATTTTAAATTGAGCAAAGTACCCAAGAGGTCTCCAAAACTGGGGTGAAATTTCAAAGAACAAGGGTTCTCCCGAGACTCCATCCAGTACTTATTCCCACCCCACAAACATTAAGCTGAGTAACTCAATGTTATGCAGAGGAACCTAACCCAGGTTTGAAAGGGAACCAACCTGTGGTTCCTTCCCTGGAGTTGGGGCTGGCAAAGTTCCAGGCCTATTTCCTTTCTCAGGGAGCAGCCCTTAGGAAACCTTTTCTAGATGATAAGCTCATCAACATCTTCTGCAAAGTCCATTCTTGCAGGCTTAACCCAACCCGCCACCACCAACTGTTCCCACGGATGGCCAAACCGGTGTTCTGTGGAGAGCTATGTGCAGTCAGGGGACAGACACTCTGAAGACACAATACCCTCCCCTCTTGGAGAGGACTCTGACTCTTCCCTATCCCACTATCTAGGGTCAACGTGAGGTTGACCAAGCCACTTGGGGTTCTGACCACCAACATTCTTCAACCAACTCTGGATTGAAGTCCCTATCAAAATATTAGGCACTACCCTAAATCCTGCTCCCACCCCAAGGCATTCCGTGTCTGACACCTATCCCTTCGTGCACCTCCATTCAGTGCGTTGGAGGACAACTTTCCATCTGGATCAAGTCTCCGAGTGAGCAGCAGCAGCAAGGGAAGGTGGACTAGTCTGGATTACAGTCCAGGCCGGGAGCAGGGCAAAAGGAGTCCAACCCCATCTTGGGGCCAGTAGTCACGACAAATGAGCCCAGGTGAGAGCCCCCACCTTTCCAGGTTATAGAAAGGGAGACACTCAGCAGAGTCACTCACAGATTCAGACCTTTGAGGATCTGCTTCTAGCAAAGAATACATGCAGAAATCCCTCCGGGTCTTAACTTTCCTGGGTCTTGTTCCCGTTTAATCTCATCTTCACACCTGGCCCCTATCCCAAGAGACTTTGGACCCTCTTACCGTGACGAAGACAACATTGTTGGGGAAGACTGATGTGTCCGCTCCATCCAAGGGCACTTGGGGTGCAGCAATGGGACCCCGGCTGGCTGTCAGTGAGGCTGGGAAGCAGCTTCTCTTTCGGACGGTTACAGTCCCTTCCTCACTCTCTGCTCCTGGGTCCCCCTCAGAAGTCTGGGATGGCAGACGCAGCTCCTCAGACAGGTAGTGTCGAATATTTTGGCGGGCTGAGTGGATGAGCCGGGAATCGATATCCAGGCCCACCATGCGGGATGGACCCCACTTACAGGCAATGCTCAGGGTCAGATGGCCCACATTGCAGCCCAGATCTAGGACGTCCCGACCCCGAAACCACTCAGGCTTCAACACTCGAAGGCGCCCATCCTCACAGGAAGGATTGCGGTAGCCATAGTACTTGCAATAATTCCCATACTGGAACTTGAGCTGTTGCTTTTTGAAGCCTGCTGCAGGTAATGGGTGGAGGTGGTGGTGATAGTGGTGGTGGTGGTGGTGGTGGTGGTGGTGATGGTGGCGGCCTCCCCCACTCCCTCGGCCCTTTTCTTTGGGACCCTGGCCTCCACCCCTAGCCCCTGCCTCTGACTTGCTGGAAGTCCTGCGACGTTTGCGATGTCGTGAGGAGGAAGACGGGGGTGCAGAGGTAACTGAGGCAGCTGGAGGGGCTGAAAGGGAGCCTGAGGGACCCTGTAGGGCAGATGGAAGGGGAGACACGACCTCATCCCTGCAGTTGATGGCTGTGTTGAGTTCATAGGGCTGGGGGGCATCCCGGTTCTGGCCCCTATGCCGCTGCTGCTGTGTGGTGCCCTCCCCATGGAGTGAGGGAGTGAGGGGGGCTGTGGGGAGCACAGAGTGGCTATCATTCCCTCCAGTTGCCTGCTGCTGCTGCTGGTGGTGCTGTCCCCGGTGTCTATGCCGCTTCCGACCAGTCTTGAGTGGCGATGCAAGAACTACCTGGGCCTCATCAGTGCAAGTATTGAGACTGAGCGGGTCAGTAATATCTTTGGGGATGAGGATTTCCACTGGATCTCGCCCCTTGGCCGGAAGTGGAGACGACTTAGGGGTCTCTGCATTGAGTGCGCGGCTCACTTCCTCATCCAGGAGACTATTCAGGTTCAGTGGATCAAAGATATTGCCCCCCAGGAGAAAATTGGAGGGTAACACAGAATCACAGTCCGAATTAACCCGCCTGCGCCTCTTGAAGGCCGGATGTTTGAAGCCTCCACCACCCCCCCCTACGTTACAACTATTTCTCCTCTTGCCCCCGCCTCCCCCAGGGGGCCGGTGGGGCTGATAGCCATTTCGGGGTCGAGGAGGGGCAGGGGGGCCCAGTTCTGTTCCGCCCCCTCCCCGTCGCTCCTCCCCCACGTCAGGGGGAGCTGCTCGCCCGTGGGGATCCGACAAGCGCGCCTCCCCATGCGACTGCGCCTGGCCTCCCCGAGTGGATGTAGCCCCAGGGTTCTCCTTGCCCTCCCCAGAAGCCGGGGCACCCGCCGAGTGTGCGCGCGGGCCCGGCCCACGCTGCGTCCCGCCGCAGAGCTCCCCGGAGGCGGCCTCTCGGTGCGGTTGCACCGTGGGGCCGCCCCCTCCGCCCGACTCATCTTTGAGCGGCGGCGGCGGGGCCGGCACCAGGAACGGCTCCTTCTCCGCCGCCATCTCGATCATTTCCTCCCCTTATTCCGTCCCAGTCGAGGGCAACGAGGGGGGGCCTGGGGGCTTAACCCCCCTCCCTAGAGCCCGCTCCTTCCCCCCCTTCCCCGAGTGCGCGCGCAGCTCTGCTCTTCTCGCCTAGTCTCGCGCCCAAGCGCCTCCCCCGAAGCGCGCCCCACTCGCCCGCGAGACCAAAACAAGATGCCCGCGAGAACCGAACAACTCGAGGAATCAACCGCGCGTGCGCCGACCTCTTTCTCCTCCACCACTACCGCTTCGCCGCGAGCGCGCACTGCTAGAGCGCGTTCCTCTCGCCCCTGAATCACGCATGCGCACTCCGCCACCACCCTGGCTGCGCGCGCATGAGTACGAACCAACTTAACGGCTCCGGGAGTTTAAATATAGCCCACCTCAGCCCCCCCCAAAAAGCCCACCACCCCAAACTGACACCCTACTTCCCTTCGCAGCTATGTCCGTCCCTACTGATATCCTTTGTCTCTGCCGCGCGATCCCACCCACCGTAGGCGGGGGACGGGGAGCTGGTGTGAAAAGGTCTCCTTGACACCCGACCCTTGTTCCTGAGGAATGAGTCTCAGCGGTCTCCGCCCGGCTCTAAACCCAGCAACCTCCCTACCCCGCCTCCTTCCTCCCCCTAGCGGGCAGCGCCTGCGCACACCCTTTTAGGCTTGCGCGGGTAGATACAGCACGTGCTGGAGCTAACGCCCCGCCCTCCACCCTAGGGGCGGGGACTGTTACGTCGCTTCCTCAGATTTGGTACACGCAACGTGCGTCAGCACGACTTGGAGGGGGCGTGTCCAAGGAATGGGGCGGACCTCATGAATTATTCATAATTTGGTCGCCTTCCTCCCCATTACCCCCCTACTTAGAAAGGCTTCCGAGGGAACGGAGGGTGAACCTAAAAGTAGAGGAAGGGAAGGAGAGGAGCGTACAGACAGTTTTCCTACGAACTGTTCTCAGTAAAATACAATAAGTCATTGTAACTCACCCCCCTGGGAAATATTCTCTGCTGAACTGAAAAAAAAAAAAAAAGGCACTAAAACAGCCGATCTTGTCCAACTTCCTCTTCCCCCGAAATGGCCGAGTCGTTCTCTCGCTCCTCCGCCTTACCCCATTCGCGAGCACCTGGGGACACCACGCCCTCCTCTCCGACTCCACACCCACAACCCTAGCACCAACACCTCCTCCCACCACCCGACGCCTGCGCGCGAGCCCCCAGCCCGCGGACTGCGACCCGACGCCCACCACAGCCACCAATAGCAGTACATTCACTACCACCACCGCCACCTCGCACGCAGGCCTTCCCAAACACACGCTGTCTTCACGCAGCCTTATATAAAAACGAGTGTGGGCGGGGAAGAGGGTTCGGCCTTGGGCCCCCTGCCTCGGCCAATGGGGAGGAAGCTATTCGGCGCCCTTTCCAGAGGGTGCTAAGGTGGCGAGTTCTCCCTGCCAACAGAGCTTGGGGAGTGGGTCCTGTGGCAGAGAAGAAGGCGGGAGAGGCGAGAGTGGGGTTGCGGATAGTCTCAACTAAAATATCAAGACAGGGCGTGAAGGAAACTAAAAGGAAGAATAGGAATCAGGAAACGAAAAGGAGAAGGAAAAGGCAGTCTGGGGTAGTGAGGAAAGTTAGTAAAAGAAAGATGTGCTTCATGAACGATCAGGCGCTGCTCCTGCCGCCTAAAAAAGTGAGGCCACTAAGGGTTATGGGATTTGTAGTTTTACGGGGTATTCGGTTGGACTATGGCGGAAGTAACAGCTGCGCAAACGCAGAAGCAGCTTCAACTGCGCAGGCGTCTCAGTCCTGGACGCACACCGCTGGGGTGGCAGCGAAGCTAGTGCGTGTCCTCACGCCTTTTCTTGGTGGCGGGAAAACTGGGTCGCGGTTGGAGGGGTTTGCAGAATTGCTGCAGTGGCTCATTCTGCTCCTTGCCTTTAGGTTCTCCTTGTTCCAGAAGGTAGCTGGCTCTTTTCTGGTTGCAGATGAAAGTGCTAGGCGCTGCAAATCCTCGCACCCGTCCCCTGAGGAGTTTTCTCTTCAGGACGACACCCAACTCTCATCCCTCCTTAGAATCTCTACCGCAAACCTACCCGCAACAAACAAAAGTCACCCAATATTCTGGCGGGCAACGACGGGCTGAGAGGGAATGAGGATGCTGGTGCCTCCACCGGGGGTGGGGATGCGGGCAGGCAGCTGAGGGGAAATTATCTCATGGCGGGGGTTCCTGAGGTGAAAGAGAGGCTAGCAAGCCATTGTTCTATCCACTGAGGGGAGTCAAGGACTTTTTGGCTCTGGTACTTTCGATCTTAATTGCTGTCCTTAAGAGCAAATTGGTGAGGGAAGACAGCGGGAAAATGCGGATCCCCAGAAATTCTTCCCTCTGGTTTGAAAGGCGGAATTAGGACTTTTACTATTCCAGACCTTGGGACCTTGTGAGGGGAAATGGTGCAGGGATCTGGGAGTTCATAGGAATGTGCTGCTTTAAGTGAAAGCAACACACAAAGTCGAGTTAGAGGTCGGTAACGGGCACCTGTGGAAGTGTTGCAGCTGGCAGATAGCAAGAGTTAGAATGAAATCAGCGCTCACGAAAGAAAACCAGTATTTTGGTGCTAAGAAGCCCTCTGAACGAATAAGCTTCAGTTCATTTATTGATAGGATTCTGCACAAGGTTTAGTTCAGGCAGTTACCACAGTAAATGTCTTGTTAGGTGTGGGCAGTAAAGGTAGCTGGAATCTTGTTTTTACCTTCTTTCTTGTGAAATTATGCTCGCTGAGGAAAAAAAAAACCCACTATGGTTATTAATGGGGGCATGAAAATAAGCAGGAGTCCACATGCCATTAGACATTGATGCCAAAAGGAAATCAGGCTCCAGCTTAAAGGAGATTTTAAATAACTTTTTCCACCCTCGTGGAGCCTGTGCAGACTGTGTGTCTGAGGACAATTCTAAAGGGTTTACTTGTATTCTCTTAGACCAAGGATTCCAGGAACAATATAAAGAGGGAATAGTTGGATAGTTAGGAGAGAGAAATTTGTGAACACAGTCTAAATGGGGGGAGGAAGGTTAATGGTTTTTGAAAAATATTGACATGACTGAATTGTTACTTAGCTGGATCAGTTCTCAAGCTTACTGGTCTCAGAACCCTCCTATACTCTTAAAAGTTATGAAGGATGCTAAAGACTGGTTTATAGCTATATATCTTTTATATCTATTGGTATTAACATTAGAACTTGAAATGAGAACACTTAAAGTATTTAATTTTAAAATAATGTTATAATTAATAATTATGTTGATACAAATAATATTTTTATGAAAAACATTTTCCTAAATGAAAGAAATTTAGTGTGAAGAATGGCGGTGTTTTACATTTTTGCAGGTCTCTTTCATATCTGGCTTAATAGAAGACAGCTAGATTTTTATCTGTTTCTGAATTCAATCTGTTATGATAGCTTGTTTTGGTTGAAGTATATGAGAAAATCCAGCCTAACATGGATATGTAGTTGGAAAGGGGAGGGGACCCCCAGGGGTCTTTGGATCACACTTTGAGAACTGCTGAAGGAGATGATTTCATTTTAAAATCACTGTGATGACCTTTAGTGTTCTAAGTGAAAGAAAACTTACCCTTTTTTGGAACACCTCATTCACCTTCCCTTAGTTCCCTTCATTCGTTATTTCCAAGTTCTTTTTCCCCTTTTCCCCTTTCTTACTTATGTTGAGTGGGTGGGATCTGATAGTGCAATTTTCCTTTACTTTCATACTTAAAACTTTATTGGGTTTTCCCCCCTCTCTCATCTGAGGTAAAAGCAGAAACAAAACAAAAAACCCTTCATATGTTATTCCTGTCTCCAGGGCCCTTGGTTATTTAGTAGCTGGTCAGATGAAAGTTGGTGGTATTTTGTGTATTTATTAACTGTCTGGTTTTAAAAAAATTTTCTCTCTCTCTGCACTACATTTTAATATTTCTTATTGTGGAAGAAGAAAATTCATCTGAAACAGAGGAGCAGAGACTTGAGTTGTCAGAGTGACTTCTTGGCTTTCCCTTCTCTATTGATCAGGTTAGATATTTTCTTTAAAAGTAATGTTCTTCATCAAACACACTGTAGATTAAGGGGAATTATTATATAATGCTGCTTATAAATTTACTGTATCTTACTAACAACGATCCACAATTTTATCCAGTTGGTTGGGGCGCCAGTAACATACTTTGGCCTAGAGAGGTCAGTATAGGTTTAGGTAATGATTTGAACCTAAATGCTGGAAAATTTTCCATTTTTAGGTGGATCAAAGCACTCTATTTTATTTAAAGAATTTGGAATAAAAAAATCACTTTTGATGTGGTAACATCGGCGTGTTATAAAATGCTAGAGATATGCGGGTGGGGGGATGGGTTGGCCTGGTGATGGGTATTAAAGAGGGTACGTTCTGCGTGGAGCACTGGGTGTTATACACAAACAATGAACCATAGAACACTACATCAAAAACTAATGATGTACGGTGATTAACATAACAATAAAAAAATTTAAAGAAAAATGCTAGAGATATGCAAGGGGGTGCGGTAAAAAGCTCTCTTCCACCCCCAGCCACCCAGTTCTATTTCCTAGAGACTTACTTTTGTCAGTTTATTGTGTATTCTTTCAGAGATAGTTTATGGATAAACAACCATATTATGTAGATGCACATTTTAAAAAATCAAATATTGTCATCTCAAATAGACTAATTTTCGTTTTGCTTTCCCCATTTAGTATAGCTCACCTTGTAATTTATATTACCTTCATAGGGACTTCTCATGATCTTTTTTGGAATTCTGGAATCTGAGAGAAGTGTTTGTCATTTGTGGTCAAATTAATATTCATTTTGCAGCCTAATTTTATTCAGTTTCTAGCTTCTATTTAGAATTATCATAAGGAAGACCAATTTGCTGCAGTGTTTCTCCCCCAGTTACCCACTTGCCTTTTTTCCTAGAGTCAATCGACTTAGGGGTTGGTGGTGATGAGTTAAGATGGAAATAGTGAGGAAATGTGCTCCTTAATACAGAGGAAAAGTAGTTGCTGCAGAACTGCACACCTGAATTATTCACATTTATAGAAGTAATGCAAAGAACAGAAAAATACCAAAAGATAATTTGAAAATACACTTAGCCATGTTGTACACACACTAAGTCAAGCCCCCAATACCTTTTGAATTCATCTTAGGATCTAGAGGGAGGAACTCTATACCCTGAGCAACTGAATGTTCACTATAGTTTGGTCATTTGAGGGTCTAAAATTTTCAAATCCTTTAAAGGGATGTGTATATATCTTATATATAAGATCCATTTTATGCTGCTTTTGAGTCTCTTTATAGTGGGAGATGACATAGTTTGGAAGATTGAGTTTCAGTTCCAGGGCCTTCAAATTACTCAAAACCAACAGCCAGAAATAAGATCATTGAGCAGAATAGGTGTGTTATTAGTAGAATTTAGAGGCAAAAGGCCTGGGTTCATCTTGGCTCTACCATGTATTAACACTGAGGCTTTGGGCAAATCACTTAATTGTGTTTTGTATATTTTTTTTTTCATCTGTAAAAAGGGGAGCTGGCACTTTATGACCTCTGGAGACCCTCCCAGAGCTACAATGCTTGTTATAAAAATAAGAATGGCTTACATGTGTTAAGCCTAAAGAAAACTGGGTAGAAGGGTTATAAGAAGTTTAAGCTGATAAAACCAGGGCATTTTTCTTCTAATTGCTGAGTAGAAATCGTATCGATAGTGGAAAGCAAATTGGAAAAAAATGTACAAATTATTGCAACGTCACAAGATGAGTCTTGGCACTCTGCTAGGTGGCAAATGGCTTATAGCTGTGTGCAGATACTAATCTCTTCAGCCTTTGATGTGGCTGGAGGTCCCCCTACTCCCACCCCTCAGTTGTCTATGGCTGTGAAAAGCCTGATCCTTTTAATCCAGAATACTGGGAAATATAATTTTCTGTGTATTTCAGCGTGTCTTTTTAATATATGCTTTCTATGTGTGCTGTGATATTAAAATGGGTTTGAAGCACTGAATTAGACTATTGGGATATACCATGCCACAGTTAATTAGCGCAGACTTTCAAATCCTGAATTATCATCTATCAATTACCTATTATGTTTAAATCCCTCTAAGCCTCAATTTCTCCAAGTATAAAAAAGTACGATCTCAAAGATTTACTCTGAGAATTAAATGAGAAGACTTATGTAAAGGGTAAATAATATAGCTGGTGCTCAATAAGTGTCATCTATTATTATTAGTCACGATTTTGGTAATGATAATGAAGCACACTGATGTAGTATAGAACATCTGCGAGTAGATAGCTATAAGATATAGAGTGAAGGTATTAGATTCCTATTGCTAGCTTCCCTGGGGACCTCTGCCTGTTCTACCAAATATTTTTGAGCCACGAATAGAGAGAGATTGCTAGAATCCAGCACAGTGGAAAATTTATTGGACTAGAAGATCTAAGTAAAGGGAAGATAAAGATTATGGTGATGTTAAAAAGGGGGGGTTCTCTATGCAGAGGGACCTCTGAATTAGGTCAGAGAATTGCCAGATTATTTGTGTCTTAAGTATTTAGGAGAACCTTGTGAGATGAGTTTATCCTTCTGAAGAAAACTGTTACTTTTTTTTAAGATTTTATTTATTTCACAGAGAGAGACTGCAAGAGAGGGAACACAAGCAGGGGGAGTGGGAGAGGGGGAAGCAGGCTTCCCACCGAGCAGGGAGCCCGATGAGGGGCTCGATCCCAGGACCCTGGGATCATGAAGACAGACGCTTAATGACTGAGCCACACAGGCACCCTGAAAACTCTTACTTTTTAACTCCCAGGACTGTTCCTACTACAACTACTGATGCTTCCATCTGTTAACAAGACAAGAGGCCCAAAATGCAGTTGCTTCTATTAAGCCCCATGTCACCAAAACAAGACTTAAAGTTTTGGCTTTCCCAGAAATAGAATCTTAGTTTACAGCCCATCAGGAATCACCTGATCAGCACTAGTTAGGTAATCTGCCTAAGAGACCCCTACCATCTCCTACAGGAAAGTAAACTTGAGATAGCTAATTCGCTTTTTTGCCTAGTGTACCTTCCTTGTTCCTGCTCCTCCTGCCAGTACAAGTCTTTCATTTCGTACAGCTCCTCTGAGTTTCTTTGTATCCGCTAGATCAGATGCTGCCCAATTCATGAATCATTGAATAAAGCCAATAATGTCTTCAAAATTTATTCAGTGAATTTTTTTTTTTAACGCATTGCTACCACTACCACTTCCACTATTGACTAGTGCCTGCCTTATGTTGGACAGGACTCTAGGCACTTAAAACACTGAGGATTGTTGCTTATCTTTAAAACAGTAACTCTTATTATCCCCTGGCATGTGATTGATGCTGCTGAGGAGGTAGAAATGTAGTCCAGAGGGCCAAAAATGTAGTTCAGGAGTCCCAGGCAAAAGATCCTGAGCCCAAGAAGACAGAGAGAGAAGAAAGTTTAAAATCATGTTCCATCGGAGTTCTAGCAGTTACTTTCTTTTTTCTTTTTTTTTTAAAGATTTTTTATTTATTTATTTGAGAGAGAGAGAGTGATAGATAGCGCGAGAGGGAAGAGGGTCAGAGGGAGAAGCAGACTCCCCGCTGAGCAGGGAGCCCGATGTGGGACTCGATCCCGGGACTCCGGGATCATGACCTGAGCCAAAGGCAGTCGCTTAACCAACTGAGACACCCAGGTGCCCTCTTTTTTTTTTTTTTTAAAGATTTTATTTATTTGACAGAGAGACACAGCGAGAGCAGGAACACAAGCAGGGGGAGTGGGAGAGGGAGAAGCAGGCTTCCTGCTGAGCAGGGAGCCCGATGTGGGACTCGATCCCAGGATCCTGGGATCATGACCTCAGCCGAAGGCAGACGCTTAACGACTGAGCCACCCAGGCGCCCTACTTTCTTTTTTCTAACAGAGGCACAAAGAAAGTGTAGCTTCTGAGCTGAATGATGACAACATTGCAGAGTAAAGAAGGTGAGTCAAGAGTGAAGGAGGTTCACATTTTGTACGTTCCTCTCAGTTTTCCCTTCTTTCTCAGTCCTTGGTCATTTCGATGCCCTTGCCACCAAAGGGAAGCTCAGTCCATATATATTTTAATATCTATAACACAAGTTTGAATGTGGTAAATGCCACCAGAGAGGCATGAAGTGTTGTGGAAGCTGAGAAGAAAAAGATATTACTTATACCTGTGAGGATCAGTGTAATTTTCATTGTACTAGTTTGTTTTCTTTGCCCCACAATTTTTCTAACTTCCCATAAAATTTTGTTTAAAGTTAAAATGAGCAAATTTTAAAAATTTCCATTTGAATTACTCATCTTCCTGCATGTTCACATCTGTCACCTTTGAACTACTCAGTAGTTCCTAAACTCCATCAGAATAATCTAGATGGCCTTGTAAAATGACAGATTCCTAGGCCTCACTCCCAACTATTTCATCTGAATCTCAGGGGTGGGGTGGGGTGGGAGAGGAGAGGCCTAGTAATCTGATTTTGTTAAAAAGCTCTCTCTCGATAATTCTGATATCCCCAGTCAATGGGCAGTACAAACGCTTTCTGTGCTAGACTCTGTGTTTCATAAATTCCATTTGATAATCAAATTTCTTTCAGAATATGGGAAGGGGCCAAAGAAAACCTTTGCCCCACCTGCACAAAAATTGCATAGCTTGATGTGCTATAGCCCTAACTCACCCAAGGAGGAGACCCTGGGGATCAGTGCCCTAAAGTCCAGGTCAGAGAAGAAGGAAGAGAAAGCAACCACAGAAAATGGTCCAAGCAGTGGCCAGGAGAATAAAGGAAAGCCTCAAGACAAGCACGCAGAGAAGAAAGAAAAGGTATCAGGCTCATTGACGGGTTCTAGTGGGACAGTTTCTCCTAGATATCCAGTCTAAACGATCTTTTATGTAGGGGAACTTTCAGTTTTTATTCCTTTCTTGGGGCTTCTATTTTCTTCTCAAAGAGGTAAAACAAAAAATCTTGATGAAAGCCTTTAGCTGGAAATAATGGCTGGGTAGGGGTTGAGGTGGGTTGGGGGTGAGAGTAGATGTGGTCAGAGACTTTAAAAACTTTTGCTTTTCTTTTACTCCTTTATTCCCAGGAAATCTGGGATAGAGTGTATAGAATCCTTAGGGACATTGACTTCATGCTTGCAGCCTTGTGAACTTACTGCCTCGTGTAAAAGAGTCTTCCCTGACTGGTCAGAGAGGAGACCCCGGGATAGATGAGTGGTTTTCCTCTTCTTCCCTTGTCTCTGTAGGAAAGAGCAAGTCTCACCAATGCAGAATTTGAGGAGATTGTCCAGATTGTACTACGGAAGTCCCTCCAGGAGTGCTTGGGTATGGCTTATAGTGAGAGAAGAAGATTTCAGTTAGACAAACTATTATCTGAGGGGTAGAGTAAGTTGACATCTGTTCTCCTTCCTTCCGGTTTCCTAAGGAAGGAAACACTAGATGGACTTTGAAATATTTTTAAATAGTTCATCTTCTATCAACAGGACTATAACTAAACCACCTTAGACAGGGGGTACAGGCTTTTAGAAAAGTGAGTTACATTGACTTCAGAATAAAAATACAGTCTCAGATTGTTTTTTAAAATGTAACTTAAATTCATTTTTACATGTGTACAATCTACTTAGAAAAGATAAATTGTATTTCTCGGATTCCAAGAACGTAGTTTCCATCTACCCTTGTATATTTCTGTTTCCAATACTGTTTTAACATTATGTTCAGGGATTTGACTTCTGGAATAAAGAACTCTACAGTACAGGCCCTGAGGACTTCACCATATGTCCTGAGGAGAAGGGGAATAGTCTGACATTTTCAGCTATTCTTAGGTGTACTTCTATTCTTAGAGAAAGTATCAGGAACAAATGATATAAAACACAGTGGCGTAAAATTTCTGGTATGTACACAAAATAAAATTGACATTACCTGGCCATCCTGGAATAAGGCAGATCAATCTGGAAAGGCTTGCCGAAAGATACAGATTTGTAGTTTTTTTCTGAGAATTTAAAGACTTAAAGTTCTGTGATATGACAAAACTCCAAAGGTGGGCTCTTCCAGACAACAGGTGGAAGACATTTTAAAGGAAGGCTGCCATTTGGAAATAATCGAATCAGTATTTTCTTAATTGCTTCTCTGCATATAGTATTTTGTTTTGGGAGAGATGGGATCTAGCCTTGATTTTGCAGAGACTTCCTGTGCCCAGCCCATAAGATGCACCCAATTAGACAAGGAACGAGGAGTTTCTTCTTCTACTGATAATGATGATGCTGATGGGTAAGTTTATCCCAGTGAGGCAAGTTGATCACAGGGTGGACTTAGCATTGGTAAATGGTTATCTGTCTATCTAGTCGTTCTCATATCTCTGTGGATTTCTTTCAGCTCAGGAAAGATACTTGTTTGAATTGGGAAAAATAGGCAAGTAGATGGATAAAATGGCCTCAGGAGGGCTTAGAGAGCCTAGGATTCTTCTATCATCCTGACTTTTGCCCTTGGGTTTTTTTCAAAAGGAGGGTATGATGAATTCCTCCTTCTTGCCTTTTCATTAAAGAAAAAAATATTATTTTCAGAGAGAGGGTAATGGTACCTCATATTCTAGAGATTTCAGCCACTGAGGAAGCTGGAGTAACCTCTGTGAGAAAGACATCTAAGCCAGGCCAGCCAGATCCTGCACCCTCTCAGAAGAAATTCAATAGACCTTCCCTAATCAAAGGAAAGAAGAGAGCTCGTAAGTACAGTCAGATATACTTTGACATCTGGCTCAAGTACCTATGGCACAGAATTAGGGAATGGGACAGTGGGCAGGCAGAGAATCTTCAGCCCAAGGCTTGAAACTCTTAGGCTATGATTCTTCTTCCTTCTTTCACTGGCCCTTACTATCTACATTCTCTTCATCTCCCTACCCTACAATGTTTTGTTTTGTCTTCCCAGAAAATGAGAAAATGGAAAAGGCCCAAAGTGGACATGAGCAGAGACAGAAAATCCAGCTGAAAAAAACAGTTCAAGATGATTCTCAGACCAGAAACCAACAAAAAGGAGAAGGCGGTGGTTTTAGTGAGTTCAGCATGATTTGGAAAACTTACCTGGGCTTGAAAATTGAAGATAGAGATGGAGAGAGGCAAGGGTCAGGTTGCTGGAGGAAATTCTGCAAAGACTGTAATTTATCTCTCATAGCTACTTGTCAGGGATATGCTGTGGAAGGGAAAGAATTCATTAATTCATTTATTCAGCGTATAATCCATAGTTGTTGGGTGCTTACTATATACCAGCAATTTTAGGAGGTGCTGAATAAATTCAGAAGAAATTAATATATGCCTGTTGGAAGGGAAGCGGGCTTGTGAGGAAGGCAAACAAGAAAGCTGCAAGTTGGGAGTAGATCTGGAGAAGTTTCCAAGAAAAGATATGGTTTGAGCCATATGTCAGAAGTATAATTTAGTCAGGTGAACCAAGGTGGGGTTGGGGGTCAGAGTGATATTTATTGGCAAAGTTATGGAGGAGAGCTAATGATTGTAGCTTTTGGGTGTATGGGGGGGTAGGAGGTTATGGGGGAGATAAGGCTAGAAGCATGCAAGGGCCTTACATGTCAGGCTAAGGAATTTTAATTTAATTAAAAAATTTTTTTGAATTTTATTTTAAAAGTAAAGAGGAGGGACACCTGGGTGGCTCAGTTGTTGGGCGTCTGCCTTCGGCTCAGGTCATGATCCCGGGGTCCTGGGATTGAGCCCTGCATCGGGCTCTCTGCTCCGTGGGAAGCCTGCTTCTCCCTCTCCCACTCCCCCTGCTTGTGTTCCCTCTCTCTCTGTGTCTTTCTCTGTCAAATAAGTAAAATCTTAAAAAAAAGGTAAAGAGGAACCACTGGCATTAAGTAGGGAAAACTTGGTAAGATTTGTATTTTAGAAAGCTCACCCTGCCACTGGCATGGAAAATAAATTGGTGGGAGCACAACTAGACCCACAGAAATAGTGATCCAAGTGAGGAAGATAGAAAGTAGCAGTGAAGAGGAAGAAACAACGTTGAGATTTTTAGGAGGAAAGACCAGTATGGTATGGTTGCCAGTTAGATCTGAGAGGTGAAGGAGAGCGAGGCCTTCAGGATGATCCTGTTTTCTGACCTGAGTGGCTGAAAGAACCATCATTTGAAATGGAGAATATAGAAGAAAGAGCACATTTCAGATGGTGAATTCAGCTTTGAACAAGTTAGGGGATCCGTGATGAGCTTTAGCATCCAAGAAAGAGCTTTAGTATCCAAGAAAGAGGTCTGGGAATATGGATTTGGGAATCTGGATGAAATTTTCCAAGAGGAAGACATGGAGAAGAGCAGTGAATAGAAAACCCATAATGTTTAGGGGGAACATAATGTTTAGGGTTGAGCACAGAAAGAACTGCACGTGGTGAAAACTAAGAACTAAGAGAAAACTTATGGAGGTGGAAGGAGATCTAGGAGAGTATGACATCACAGATGTCAGGGTAGGAGAGAATTTCAAGAAAGAGGAAGCATTTAGCCTTGTCCAGTGCTGCTACAGAGACATCAAAGAGGATAAAGATTTGAAAATGCTCAATGATGTTACAATTAGGAAGTTACTAGGGTCTTGATTAGAGCACTCATATGGGTTGGTAGGGGTGAATGGCCAGTTTAGTTGGTTGAAGAATAAGTACTTTTTCAATTAGTTTAGATGTGAAAACCAGGATGAAGAAAATGGTAAATAGAGGGGAGTGGGTGTAGAGTTGAGGGGCGGCTTTTCTTTTTTTTAACTTTCTTTTAAAAGAAAGAGACTTGACCTGTGTGTTGTTAGCATATGTATATGCTGAGGGAAAGTTGTTTATAAAAAAGGAGAGATTGGGGTGACTGGGTGGCTCAGTCGGTTAAACGTCCAACTCTTGATTTTAGCTCAGGTCTTGATCTCAGGGTTGTGAGTTCAAAGCCCGTGTTTGGCTCCACTCTGGGCACAGCACCTACTTAAAAAAAAAGAACAAAAGAGGAGAGATTGACGGGAATGAGAAGAGAGCCACACGGCTTATTCTTATTGCCTTTGAGATTAGATGGAAGGAAGATAAACATGGATATAGATTTATTTATTCTTTTAACAATAGTTATTAATGCCTTATGTTCTATTCCAGGCAGTGCGGTAGGTATTGGAAATACAGTGGTGAACACAATAGATAATCCTTTCTTTCATAGAACTCATGGTTTTAGTGTATTGGGTAATAAACAAATATAGGTTATAACCATGATAATTTTGGGAAATTTTAGAATGAGAAATAAAAGAGATGATATGTTAGTATGTTTAAAAGTTTGAAAATAAATACACTTAATCTGGGGGGAAAACAGGCTTGCACCAAAAACAGGCTTGTACGTACTTGAAAGAAAACTCTAAAAAAAAAAAAGAAAGAAAGAGGGCGCCTGGGTGGCTCAGTCGTTAAGCGTCTGCCTTCGGCTCAGGTCATGATCCCAGGGTCCTGGGATCGAGCCCCACATCGGGCTCCCCGCATCGGTGGGAAGCCTGCTTCTCCCTCCCCCACTCCCCCTGCTTGTATTCCCTCTCTCGCTGTCTCTGTCTCTGTTGAATAAATAAATAAAATCTTAAAAAAAAAAAAAGATAACCTGCTCTCAGAAGATGTTTAAAAAAAAAGAAAGAAAGAAAGAAAAGAAAAATCTAGGCAGGGGCACCTTCGTGGCTCAGTTGTTAAGCGTCTGCCTTTGGCTCAGGTCATGATCCCAGGGTCCTGGAATCCAGCCCCGCATCGGGCTCCCTGCTCAGCTGGAAGCCTGCTTCTCCCTCTCTCACTCCCCCTGCTTGTGTTCCTGCTCTTGCTATCTCTCTCTGTCAAATAAATAAATTAATTAATTAAAAATCTTAAAAAAAACCCAAAACTCTAGGTATCACACAGGATAGTCCAAGGCAATAAACTGCTTCTTGTGTTATGATGACATGGTAACATAAGGAGCCGGAGGTGTAAGTCTCATTTGGGCAATTGGGTGGTCTGGGTGGCGGTGTCCCATCTCCTGCACCTCTCCGTATTAAGGCAAGGATTGGATTTTCACTGGGAAATGGAAAGTCCCCTCCTTAGGCAGCGCTCATTGAGTCAAATTGTAATTGTCGTGAATGTGTAAGCCTCTGGCTATAAATGGACTGCTCTTCCTGTTTCTTCCAGTTGCCAGGGACAGGCGAGTCCTCCTGGAGTAGGAAGGAGAAAGGGCAGTATCCGATAAATACAATCCATTTGTACGAAGTGAGGGAAAAGAATGGAGTGTCATCACAGGAAATAAGGGAGACCTAATCAAGATTGGGCCAGTCAGGGAATGCAGCTGTAAGGAGATGGCTGTTAAGCTGAAATCTGAAGGAGAAGCAGGAGTCGGAGAAAGAGTTTAGGGAGAGTGCAGTTTGGCATATGCTGGGTATTAAAAGGAAGTCAGTGTGATTGGAGTTGGAGAGCAAGGAGAAGCAAGGCAGGAAAGTGGCTCTGGAGGAATGTACAAAGTGAGGATTTTATCCTCGGTGCAGTGTGAAGCCACTGATGAGTCTTCACCAGGGGAATGATGTCATCAAATTAGTATTTTAAGAGACTCCCTTTGGTGATTAATTGGCGAATGAAGTATGTAGGGACAAGAGTAGACAAGTGAGTCCTAGGATTAGATACTTTGGTGGCTTGGAGGAGGATGATGAAAGTGGAAACAGAAGTGGATGGTTTTAAGATATGTTTTAGAGGTAAACTTGTCAAAACTTGGTAGTGAATTGGATATTGTGTGAGAGAGAGATGAGAATATGTTAAAGATGATTGGTTTCTGGCTTGAGCAGTTACATGAGAGAAGGTGGGGAAAAGTGGAGGAAGAACACATTGTGGGATAAGATCAAGCATTTGGGTTTGGGTCTGTTAGGTTTGAGATCTTTGTGAGACATCCAAATGGTGATGTCAAAGAGCGAGGTGCCTGTAGGAATCTGGAGCTCAGAACAAAAACTAGAAGTATTATTCATCTGTGTGTGGTCGGTGTGGAGATGGGTCTCAAACCCGTAGGAATGGGCGAGCTTGCCTCAGGAGAAAGTGTAGCATGGGAGCAAAGGCCGGCCTGTGACTGGGCTTTGGGACCCCAACATTTGGAGACTGAGGGGTGAAGGAGGAGGAAAATGCCAGAAAGAGTGTGGGGGGGCGAAACGGAAGGAGGAAGGATCACAGAACCCAAGGAAACGGGTGTCCACTGAAATGCTCTTTGTGTGTCTGTGACATCAGTCTTCATTATCATAGAGCTGTGTCGTGAGCCTCAAACAGGTTTCTGGAGCACATCATCCTCTCTTCTAAGTTGTTTGAAAGGAAACTTTAAAGAACCGTGTGTTGCTGTCATTAGAAATTTTATCCCAAGCCACACAAATACCTAGTTCTACATCATTAGGATGACTTTTCCCCATTCATTTGCTCACAAATATTCATTATTTTCATAACCAACCGTTTATTTTATTAATCTGTGTTTACTTTTATGGTCCCTGGCCCCTTCTCCCACTCTTTTTTCTAGTCTTGCTAGGTCTCCTCTATAAACATCAAAAACTATCATTGGCAGCTCTTTTTGTTTTGTTCTGGTTTGGCTTTTTTTGATGATACTGTTTTTATGTATACAAAGTTTCCAGATTTTTATATTATCATATCAAAGACACAAGATGCCAGCACATAGTGATCAGAAGAAAACCCAGGTAGGAAGCCAACACAGAAGGTTCCAGTGGACCTGGGCTAGCCGGGCCAGTGCAGAGTCCTGATACCACCATCCATTGGCCCAGAGGCAGGGCTGGCTTGGTGGGCACCCTCACAGGGGGCCTGTGCCTGAGCCAGGTCCACAGGGGCTCTCTGTGGATTGCCCAGAGGCATTCGCCTCTAACTCCGTCCTTGCTCAACTTTCTCTGGTTGCTGAGGCAGAAGGTAAAGATCTGTTTGGGCTAGACGTTCTCATCGTCATGGGGCGGGGGTGGTGGCAGCGATGGAGGGGCTGCCCAGGAGCGCAGTGTGGAAGAAGGCAGGCCCCAAGTGGCATGGCTGCCTGTCACTGCAGGCCTTGCCTACCAGCATTACCGGAGGTGTGGATCTCACTGACCCACGGCGGTTGCTGTGGTGCCGCACACACGTGTGTGTTCCAGGCTCTGCTGCTGTCTTTTCAGACTAACGTATTGTTCCTGACCGGTGCTTTTTTCTTCAAAATAAAATAATTCAGAATGTGATGCATAATATGAACTACCTTGAAAGGACCCAAATATAAGTCAACTGCTTCTCTGAGGGCTGATTTCGGGGGAATGGAGGGCATCCCTTATATTCAGGCATGGAAGGTAAAACTTGACCGTGGGCAAGTGAACTCATTGGAGAAACATATTGGTTGGTATTGTTAATTGTGATGGTATGGTGTAGACCCATGTGCCTGGTTATGTGATATTTCTCTAGCAATGCTCAGTTGAATGAATGTAGGCACAGAAAAGGTAGAATGTGTTCATTCAAGGTTGTGTTGGGCCAGCTAGGTGGGAAGAAGGACAGAGGGCAAGGGAGTTGAAGATGTCTGCAAGAGAATCTAAGGAGTCAAACCTGAGTAGGTATAGTGAAGAAAGGAGGTCGCTACTAGATTGGGAAGAAGTTAGGGGCCAGTGGATTGGTGATCTAGATAAAGTGAAAGTTCCTTAGAGGTCTTTGGGCAAGTGAGGTGGAAGGATGGGGCATTTTTTATCAGAGAGGGATGTTTGGATAAGTGGGTTCAAGGGTGTGTGAGGTCCCTACGGATGACTGAGTGGGGCATGCAGGAGGGGAGTGCATCACGGAAGTGAAGTGCATTACTGAGGTGTCATGGAGGAAAAGACCAAGGAACTCAGAGAATGGGGTGCTGCTTTGAGTTACCTCTTGAGAACAGCAGTCATCTGGAATGAGGGCAGGAGATGGATAGGAGGAGAAGGCTGAACCAGATGCCAGCATCTTTTCAAGGGAGACGAGAGGGCGGTGTAGTCCCATGGCATGGATCTCAAGGAAGGAACGGTTTTTTTTTTTTTTTTTAAAGATTTTATTTATTTATTTGAGAGAGAGAGCACACGAGCAGGGAGGAGGGGGAGAAGCAGATTCCCCACTGAGTGGGGAGCCCGATGCGGGACTTGATCCCAAGACCCCAAGATCATGACCTGAGCTGAAGGCAGATGCTTAACCAACTGAGCCACCCAGGTGCCCCAGGAAGGGTTTTTATAGGAAGGGGGATAGTAATGGTCTGGAAGTGGTGATGAGTAAGGAAGATGCTGACCCCACTCTCTGGCCTGGGGTGTGAGAGAGGGAACAGACTCCACTTAGAGGGCTGTGGGTGGGGTGGGGTCGGGTAGGGGCATTGTCATTAGTGCATCACCAGTTTTCGAAAAGGAGATGGATGTTCAGAGAAGTTGAAGATATGTGGATTTTTTGATGCTCTTGTCTAGAATTCTAAAGAACATAGTGGAAAGATTTGGGACAGAGAGAGGAGAGGCTGTGAGGGGCATTGGGTCAACTTAGCAGATGTTGGGATAAAGAAAGGTGGGGGTAAAGGTTTGGAAGGTAATGGATAAAAGGAATGCTTGGCCTTTGAGCAAGGCCTGAAGTAAATAGTTGGTTGAGTTGGTAGGCTTATCTCTGTCTTTTGGAAGGGGTTAAACTCAGGGCTGTTGGTCCCAAAGACTGCAACTTGGTGATTTGGTGACAGGTAAATCAGCTGGGACTCAGGAACTCTGGATGTTGTACACAAAAGAGAGGCTGGTTAGCTCTTCAAAAGAACTTTCCAGTAGTGACAGGCCAGCAGAGAACGAGGCACTAGCTGGAAAGATGCTGGCCAAATTTTTCAAGAACTGTCAATATAGGAAACACTTCTTTTCTCCTTAGGGGAAGGAAAGATTAATAGTATGGCATAGGAGAAAGATTGATATGTGAGACCTGGGGCCCGAGTTTAGCTCTGCCACCAGTTTAGACTGATCTTCAGCAAGTCAGTTATCTTCTCTGAGCTTAGTTTTCCCATTTATAAATCTAGGATTAGACTAGTTGATCCCTAAGGCTGTGTGATTTTGAAGGGAGTACATTGATTTTAGTTGGACTGAAGAAGGAAGGGCATATTTTTGTTTCATTTCAGTTTTTTTTTTCTTCTAGCAGGTCAATGTCTCGTCTGGGTCCAATGTTCCTCCCCAAACTGTGAGAAGTGGAGGCGGCTTCGTGGGAACATTGACCCCTCAGTGCTTCCTGATAATTGGTCCTGTGATCAGAATACAGGTAGATAGGACTGGAGATGGTTGGGTTTCTTTTTTGTTTTTTAGTTTTTAATGGTTCTTCCCTTTCTTTCTCTGTATGTATCCCTTAGATTAAATATGTCATAAATGTAGTTATAATTCCAGGGGTCCTTGTAGTGTTTGGGAGAGAGGAAGGGATCATCCTGTAATATCAAGATGAATCTGGCATAATGGGCTAGAAGAAGACACCCTGAAGAGTTATGTTGTGAGAAGGGCCTGGGATCTAAATGTAGATTCTGAGTGAATTCCCCTTTCTTCAGCATTAGTCTGACCCGGTTGATCCTGACTAGATTGTTGGTATTGGGTTGGTGGATAAGAAGGGATATGGGATATTTGGGGGGAAAGTAGGTGAGAGAGAGCCAGTCGCTTAGAATTCTAGAATGTTTGAAACCACTTGAAAGAGATTATGATGATCTAAGCCCAGCCCAATTATTTTCACAGATGAGATAACAGAGTCTCAGAAAAATGACTGTCATGATGTTATATAGATAGAAGCACTGTCAGATAATGTGGGATATAGGCCCAAGTTTAGAATCTCTGTAAAGTACAAGGAGGCAGCACTCCTCCTCTACCTGTAGCTGCATTTCCTCCACGGGTCTTTGTTCTTCCTCCATGCCTGTCTCCCAGGTGCACTTTTGGTCCCACCTGCTGCATATTCTTGTCCTCTCTCCTGCCCTCATCCAGATTTTTCCCTGATGGGGTTCTTTCCTTCCCTTCTCTCTTTTGCCAGACTTGAGGTACAATCGCTGTGACATCCCTGAGGAGTCCTGGACAGGGCGTGAGAGTGATGTGGCCTATGCCTCCTACGTCCCAGGATCCATCATCTGGGCCAAGCAATACGGTTACCCCTGGTAGGGCACCATGGCATAGTCAGAGCATCCTTCATGAACTTGGAGGTGGTAGATTCAAGCAGAGAGGGAAGGAAATGGAAAGTATTTATAATGGAAATGGTACCTGCCTTAGAAAGAACATGGGATGAGGGAAAAGGTAAAGTCCCAAGCCTGGAGGCTTTGAAAGAATGCATTTTCTAGAGGTTTCACAGGGAGGTATCTCCCTGGAAGAAAAGGTCTACCAATGCTACCCTGAGTGGATAGAAAAAGGAAGGTGGCTTTAAGGCATTTTTTAAACATTGAGTTATGACATATATATAAAGTAGAGAGAATGAAGATGGGTAGGATAGTTTCTTCTCTGGAGATGTCCCTAATCAGAAGATTTTTTCTCAGTGTTGATGGAAGGCCTAGAAGGGTAAGATACTCTTACTAGGAAGATTTTGAGTTTCTTTGTACACTGATAGAAGTCTCTTTAGTCATTTGGTAGATTACTGAGGGAGATCCACAAGGAGGGGTCTATCTTTGAGATCCTTTTTTTTTGCAAAACATATTTCCCCTTTCTGTACATGTGTATTGATGAGTTTATGTTGTGTTCATCTGAACCCTTCCTCTTCTGTCCCCTAAACCTGTTTGTTTTCTCCAGGTGGCCAGGCATGGTAGAATCTGATCCTGACCTGGGGGAATATTTTCTCTTTGCTTCTCATCTTGATTCCCTGCCGGTGAGTTTTCCTGGCTCAGGCCAAAGTAATGAGCAAATCCATCCTAACAGGGGTACAGAATTAGAAGCAGACGTAGCCAGCAGACATCAGCAGAAACAGACACTTAACTAGAGTGACAAAGACAGAAATAACTACCCACATATAAAAATCAACTTGTATCTAATTAAATATTTAATCATTACTAGGACATTTATGGTTCTGGTAAATGTGCGTTGGTTAGGTTTCCTGAGGTCAGGACGGAAGAACAGACTGAGGTGGGGTAGGTGGGTCAGGTTTATGGCATCAGATGAGGCCCAGCACCTCCTTCCTTTTATGAATCCTGAGTTCTTCTCCCACCTTTTCTGGCTAGAGGGCCAAAGCAAGGAGAAAGACAAGAGGCCGTAAGAAAACCATTTTTTATTTCAGTCTAAATACCATGTGACATTTTTTGGAGAAACAGTCTCTCGTGCTTGGATCCCAGTCAACATGCTAAAGAACTTCCAGGAGCTGTCCCTGGAGCTAGCTGGAGTGGTAAGCAACCCCTGGGGGTCAATTGTGATACAGGGAACCTGAAAACTAAATCTGCCTTTTATTTAACCTGATTTTCTCCCAGGGGAAGCTGTGTTGGGAGGAAGTCCATGTCTGACCAAGTGTGCAAAGGTGAGGTTATTCATGAGGGACTCTCCTTTCTACCAGGATTGCAGCGGGATAATGATTTTTCTTAGTCTCCTTCCTTGCCTGCAGGTAGGGGGTCTTCCTGAAGACTGCAGTTTTCTACAGTTTAGCCAAGGCAGGTGTGGCAGAAATGAGGGCACATACCAACTCAGGGTTTCTCAGTCAGGTACCATTTGGGGCCTGATAATTCTTTGTTGTGGAGGGCAGGCCTATGTATTTTAGCATGTTTAACAGCATCCCTGGCCTCTACTGACATCTAGCCAGGGGATGCTTCTGCCCCTGGCCTCAGTTGTGACAACCAAAAAAATTGTCTCTAGACATTGCCAAATATCTTCTGGGAGGCAAAAACCTTCCTTGGTTGAGAACCACTGAATGAACTAAATAATATTTCCTGCCTATAATCACTTTGGGTTCAGCCAGCCTTAGAAATAAGCAGAGGCCCAGCAGCTCTGGGGCCTTCAAAAATTAAGCAGTATTAAATGAAGTCGCTGGATCTGAAGAAATTTGTGAGAAGCTTAAAAGTGGAATCACCTGAGCTCCTTTAATCTTGCCTCTCCAAATTTCCATGGGATTTACTGTGGAGAGGACACCAAAATGTTGGTTGACTGTATTGCTAGCAATTGGTAACAGGTTTGTTATGGGGGCATAAAGGGAGATTGTGTCTCTAAGCTCAAAAGATTAAGAATAGGAGTATCAGATCAATGTCAGGAACTGGAAATAAATGTAGTTAAAGATCATGTCTGGTGAGTAGCAGTATGTTGGAGTCACTTCTTTTTTTTTTTTTTTTTTTTAAAGATTGAGCAGGGAGCCCGATGCGGGGCTTGATCCCAGCACCCTGGGATCACGATCTGAACCGCAGGCAGTCGCTTAACCAACTGAGCCACCCAGGTGCCCCAGGAGTCACTTCTTTAATATTTATCATTGACTTTAATCTTCCTCTATTTCAGAAAAAGTGCAGGAACAAGGACTGCAACCAGAAGCTGGGAGCAGCCCTGACGATGGCTCAAGAGGCAGAACAGATCAGTATACAGGTGAGTGTTCAGACTACACACCTGCTCCTCTTTGGGACTTGGGACACAAAGCAAACCATATACTGTCTACTACAGAAAAGTGACTTGTACTTCCCCATCATCCTGTCTTAGTCTTAGAATTAGTCTTTTCTTCCCAGGTCAGATTCCCTTGACTCCTTAAATCATTTATTCTTGGGGTGCCTGGTTGGCTTCGTTGGTTGAGCGACTGCCTTCGGCTCAGGTCATGATCCTGGAGTCCCGGAATTGAGTCCCGCATCAGGCTCTCTGCTCAGCAGGGAGCCTGCTTCTCCCTCTGACCCTCCCCCGCCCCCATGCTTGCTCTCTCTCATTCTCTCTCTCTCAAATGGATAAATAAAATCTTTAAAAAAAACATCATTTATTCTTTCCCCTACCCTTGGACAAATGGGATCTTCTCTCATCCCACAGAGAGACAGTTTGTAGTAGGGGGCATCCTACCTCCCTATTTAACTTTAGATCTCAGATGTATGTGTCTTAACCTCTCTCTTATGCAGGGTCAGTGTTTACCCTCAAATTCTGCCTTTGGGGGTGCAGTGGAGAATGACAAACTGAATTATAAATAAACTGGAAAAAAGAGATTATAGTAATATAGCATATAATTATATAACGTAATATAAATATTATAAAGATAATATTATAATATATTATAATAGCCTTCACAGAAATTGAGATAAACAGAACATGAAATTTCAAGTAAAAATGGTATAGAATATGAATATAAAGTCCATAACTAAAGTCTTAAAGACAGAGAGCAAAAATCATCCCTGGGAGATAGTGGATGATGCTTTTTTTCTTGGTTGCCTCAGGAACGGGTTAACTTGTTTGGTTTCTGGAGCCGGTACAATGGATCTGACAGTCGTGGGGAAGGAAAAGGTAGGATCAGTAGGAGGATGAGGGCCAGAGAAAGAGGTGAGGAGAGGACATAGAGAGGGAGGTCCTTCATGCGAGCAGCAACTGAACCTTTATTTTACATCCAGTGTCATCCACCTAGTTCTGGATTCTCTAACAGGAGGCTCTGCATGAATGCCATTGACCAAGTGTCCAGGGTGGATGGATGGATAGATGGATGGGTGAAGAGAGGAACGGAGAAAAAAAGAGGGTGGGAAGGGAGGGTGCATGTTGAAGAGCGGTGGGACTTTGGAAAAGGTGGTGCTGTGATAATCTAGGGCCATGTTTTATGGAGAAAATGCCGCTGGGACATGAAAGGCAGAGTTAGAAGACTGCTTCTCTGGGATCAGCACCATTAAATCATCATCTAATTTATTGGATAAATTCTTTAGCTTTTCCTTCCTATTCCTGTTCTAGACTTAAGGCTTTCTGGGGCTAACAGCCCAGATTCCTGCTTGGAGAAAGAAGAGGAAGAGTCAGAGTTGGAGGTGAAGGAGTTGGAAGAGGAGGAAGAGAAAAAAGTAAGATTGATCTTGGGGATTGCTTTTAGGAGATTCCTGTAGTACGTCTGGTTGGCTTGGATTTATACTTACTAGGGAACCATCCTGTGCCTGGCTTAGGGTGGCCCTGACTCGCTGGTCTTATCTCTTAGGGGTCTTCAGGGAAGGGGACTCTCCTCTTTCCTCAGTTATTCTTTCTAATATATCTATTAGATTATATATATTATATATATATAATCTAATAATATATCACATTTCTAGGAACTTATTTCTTGGTTATCATCTCAGTTCTTAATGTAGTGCTTTGGTTCTTACTGGAGCAATTTCAGCGAATAGCAGGTTGCCTCTCTTCACTCTCTGTCCTCCCCTGTGTGGACACTTAATCTTAAGTGTCTTAATAGTCATTCACTTGCCTCCTTAGGCTCTTTTCAAGCATATGAAATATAGATTTTTAAAAAAATTTTAAAGGGGCGCCTGGGTGGCTCAGTCGTTGAGCATCTGCCTTCGGCTTAGGTCATGATCCCAGGGTCCTGGGATGGGGCCCTGCGTCAGGCTCCCGGCTCAGCGGGAGGCTTGCTTCTCCCTCTCCCACTCCCCTGGCTTGTGTTCCCTCTCTCCCTGTGTCTCTCTCTGTCAAATAAATAAATAATTTTTTTAAAAGATTTATTTACTTGAGAGAAAGAGAGAGTGTGGGGGACGAAGAGGAGGACACAGGGGACGCAGAAGGAGAGGGAGAGAGAATCCCAAGCAGACTCTGTGCTGAGTGGGAGCCCAGTGCAGAGCTTGATCTCATGACCCTGAGATCATGACCTGAGCCGAAACCAAGGTTGGATGCTTTAACTGAGTCACCTAGGCGCCCCAGCCTGAAATACAGATTTAAAAAAAAGTACAGAGAGTTCCCATATCCCTCCTGTCTCTACACGTGCATAGCCTTTCCCATTATCAACACCCCCACCAGAGTGGTGTATTTGTTTACAGTTGATCAACCTACACTGGCACATTATAATCACCCAAAGTCCATTGTTTACAGTAGGATTCATTCTTGGAGTTGTTATATTCTATGGGTTTGGACAAATACAGAACAATATGTATATATCATTATAGGATCATACAGAATATTTTCACAGCCCTGAAAATCCTGTGTGCTCTACCTATTTACCCCTCTCCCTGCAACCCCTGACAACCCCTGATCTTTTTATTGTCTCAATAGTTTTGCCCTCTCAAGAACATCATATAGTTGGAATCAGACTGGCTTCTGAGAAATATACATTTAAGTTTCCTTCATGTCTTTTCATGGTTTGATAGCTTGTATCTTTTTTTATCTGAATTTTTCCATTTTCTGGATGTACCATATTTATTCATTCACTTACTGAAAGATATCTTGGTTGCTTCCAAATTTGGACAATTATGAATAAAGCTGCTATGAACTGCTGCATACAGGCTTTTGTGAGAACATAAGTTTTCAACTCCTTTGGGTAAATACCAAGGAGCTTGATTGCTGGATTGTATGGTAAGAGCATGTTTAGTTTTGTAAGAGAACAAACTGTCTTCCAAAGTGGCTATACCATTTTGCATTCCCATCAGCACTGAATGAGATTTTTTGTTGTTCCACATCCTTGCTAATATTTGGTGTTGTCAGTGTTCCAGATTTTAGCCATTCTAATAGGTGTGCAGTGGTATTTCATTGTTGTTTTAATTTACATTTCCCTGATGACATATGATCTGGAGCATCTTTTCATATTCCTATTGGCCATCTGTACATCTTCTTTGGTGACATGCCCATTAAAATGTTTGGTCCACTCATTTAATTGGGTTATTTATTTTTTTTATTGTTGAGTTTTATGAGTTGTTTATATTTAGGTAACAGTCCTCAATCAGATGTGTCTTTTACCAATATTTTCTCCCAGTCTGTGGCTGTTTTTCTCATTCTCTTGACATTGTCTTTTACAGAGTGGATGTTTTTAAATTTATTTATTTATTTATTATTTATTTATTTATTATTTTTTATTTTTTTAAAGATTTTACTTATTTATTTGACAGAGAGAGACATAGCGAGAGAGGGAACACAAGCAGGGGGAGTGGGAGAGGGAGAAGCAGGCTTCCCACAGAGCAGGGAGCCCAATGTGGGGCTCGATCCTGGGACCCTGGAATCATGACCTGAGCCGAAGGCAGATGCTTAACCATCTGAGCCACCCAGGCACCCGATGTTTTTAATTTTAATGAAGTCAGTCTATTAATTGTTTCTTTCATGGATCATGCCTTTGGTGTTATATATAAAAAGTCACTGCCATACCCAAGGTTATCTATATTTTCTCCTATGTTATCTTCTAGGAGTTTTATAGTTTTACATTTTTACGTTAGATCTATAATACATTTTGAGTAAATTTTTGTGAAGGGTGTAAGGCTATGTCTAGGTTCATTTTTTTTGCATGTGGATGTCCAGTTGTTCCAGCATATTTGTTGAAAAAACTGTCATTGCCTTTGCTCTTTTGTCAAAGATCAGCTGACTATTTTTATGTGGGTCTATTTTGGGGCTCTCTCTTCTGTCCCATTGACCCATTTGTTCTTTTGCCAATTCTACACTGTCTTGATTATTGTAGCTTTATAATAAGTATTAAAGTTGGCTAGGGTCAGTTCTCCAGCTTTGTCCTTCTTCAGTATTGTGTTGGCTATTCTGGGTCTTTTGCCGTTCCATATAACTGTAGAATCAGTTTATTGATACCTACAAAATAACTTGCTTGGGTTTTGTTTGGAATTGCATTGACTCTATATATCAAGCTAGGAAAAACTGTTGAAATATTAAGTCTTCCTGTCCACAAACATGGAATATCTATTTATTTAATTCTTTGGTTTTATTCATCAGAGTTTTGTAATTTTACTCATATAGATCTTGTACATATTTTGTTAGAATTATACCTAAGTATTTAAATTTTTTGGTGCTACTATAAAGGGTTTTGTGTTGTTGTTTTTTTTTAAAGATTTTATTTATTTATTTGAGAGAGAGAGAATGAGAGATAGAGAGCATGAGAGGGAAGAGGGTCAGAGGGAGAAGCAGACTCCCTGCCGAGCAGGGAGCCCGACGCGGGACTCGATCCCGGGACTCCAGGATCATGACCTGAGCCGAAGGCAGTTGCTCAACCAACTGAGCCACCCAGGCGCCCTAGTTATAGGTTTTTTGTAGATGTTCTTTGTCGACTTGAGGAAGTTACCCTCTCTTCCTAGTTTACTGAGAGTTTTGACCATGAATGGGTGTTGGCTTTTGTCAAACGCTTTTTCTATATCTGTTGATAGGATCATGTGATTTTTCTTTTTTTGCCCCTTGATGTGATGGATTACAGTAATTGATTTTCAAATGTCAAACCAGTCTCGCATGCCTTGAATAAATCCCATTTGTTCATGGTGTATAATTCTGTTTATACATTGTTGGATTTAATTTACTAATATTTTGTTGAGGATTTTTGTATCTCTTTTCATAAGAGATATTGGTCTGTAGTTTTTTTTTGTAGTGTCTTTGACTGGTTTTGGTATTCAGGTAATGGTGGTCTCATAGAATGAGTTAAGAAGTATTTTCTGCTTCTTTTCTCTATAGAGAATAGGCATAATTTCTTCCCTAGTTCACCAGTGAACCCATAGGTCTGGTGCTTTCTGTCTTGGAAGGTTGGCTACAGGTTACTGATTCAATTTTGTTAATAGATATAGACCTATTCAGATTGTCTGTTTCTTCTTGTGTGAATTTAGACAGATTATATCTTTTAAGGAATCGGTCCATTTCCTCTTGGTTATCAAATTTGTTTGCATAGAATTATTCATAGTATTCCTTTATTATCCTTTTAATGCTCATGGGCTCTGTAGTATATTTTCCGATATTAGTAATTTGTTTCCTCTCTCTCTTTTTCTTGGTTAGCTTGGCTAGAGGCTTATCAATTTTATTGATCTTTTCAAAGAACCAGCTTTTTTGTTTCATTGGTTTTCTCTACTAATTTCCTGTTCTCATAATACCATCAATTTCTACTCCAATTTTTATTATTTCTTTTCTTCAGCTCACCTTTTTTAAAATTTTAACTGTTAATTTATTTGATTTTTGAAGGTGAAAAACTATTTGAGGAATCAAGTCAAACACTAATGGGAATTGTGGTGGGGAAACACAAGGCTCACTTTGCTAACAAGCAGTATTTGCTGGAAGAATTTCAGAAAACAGTGCCAAGAAGCCAGCCTAGCTGTGTGGCCCTAAGGGAAGTCACAATATCTGAAACCCCAGATCTCCTTATCTGTAAAATGAAGAGATTAGGCCAGGTGACATCATGACCTCTAAATGCCCTTCCAGACTTAATTTCATCCTGCTAGGCTCAACAATTAAGGGCAAAGGACCACAGGGAAAGTGCTGTCCAGTCAGGAGCCGCACAGAGAAATTAAGAATTTTTAGAAAAAGCTTCAGGGATCTCTGTCATCACTTCATTCAATCTTCAGCTCACTTTGGATTTAACTTGCTCTTCTTTTTCTAGTTTCCCAAGGCTGAAACTTCGACTACTGATTTTATTTTATTTATTTATTTATTTTTTAAAGATTTTATTTATTTATTTGACAGAGAGAGACACAGCGAGAGAGGGAACACAAGCAGGGGGAGTGGGAGAGGGAGAAGCAGGCGGGAGCCCGATGCGGGGCTTGATCCCAGGACCCCGGGATCATGACCTGAGCCGAAGGCAGACGCTTAACGACTGAGCCACCCAGGCGCCCCTCGACTACTGATTTTAGATCTCTCTTCTTTTCTAATATATGTGTTCAATGCTTAATTTCCCTCTAAGTCCTGCTTTTGCTGTATCCCACAAATTTTGATAAATTGTGTTTTCCTTTTCATTTAGTTCATATTTTAAATTTCATTTAGTTCCATATTTTAAAATTTCTCTTGAGATTTCTTCTTTGACCCATGTGTTATTTAGAAGTATGTCATTTAATCTTTATGTATTTAGGGACTTTTTAGTTATCTTTCTGTTACTGATTTCTAGTTTAACCGTGTTGTGGTCTGGGAGCAGACACTGTATGATTTCTATTCTTTTAAATATGTTAAGTTTTGTTTTATGGCTCAGAATGCAATAAATTTTGGTGAATGCTCCATGTGAGCTTGAGAAGAATATGTATTCTGCTACTGAATACAATGAAGTAACTTGTAGATGTCACTTATATCCAGTTGATTGATGGTGTTGTTGAGTTCAGCTACGTCCTTCCTGATATTCTGGTGTCCATGGATCTATCCATTTTTGATAGAGTGGTGTTGAAGTCTCCAGCTATGATAGTGGATTCAACTATTTCTTTTTGCAGTTCTGTCAGTTTTTGCCTTATGTAGTTTGGTGCTCTGTTGTCAGGCTCACTTTAAGGATTGTTATGTGTTCTTGGAGATTTGACCCCTTTATCATTATGTAATACCATTCTTTATCCCTGATAACTTTCCTTGCCTTGAAATCTGCTTTGTCTGAAATGAAATAGCTACTCTTGCTTTCTTTTGATTAGCATTAGCATGGTGTATTTTTCTATTTACTTTTATAGTGTATATATATATCTTTATGTTTAAAGTAGACTTCTTGTAGACAACATATAGTTTGGTCTGCTTTTTAATCTACTCTGACAATCTGTGTCTTTTAATTGGTGTATTTAGACCATTAATATTCAAATTAATTATTAATATAGTTAGATTCATATCTACAATATTTGTTACTATTTTCTATTTGTTGCCCTTGTTCTTTCTTCTTATTTTTGTTTTCCACTCTTCTTCTGCCCGAAGTGTGTGTGTGGTTTTTTTTTTAAGATTTTATTTTTTAAGTAATCTCTACATCCAACGTGGAGCTTGAACTTACAATCCCTGAGATCAAGAGTCTCATGTTCTACCAACGGAGCCAGGCAGGCACCCTCCAAGTGGTTTTTTGTTTTGTTTTGTTTTGTTTTGTTTTGTTTTGTTTTGTTTTTGGAGAGAGAAAAAGTGTGTGTGCAAGTGGTGGGGAGGGGCAGAGTAAGAGGGAGAAAGAGAATCTTAAGCAGGCTGCATGCTCAGGGTGGAGCCCCACTCAGGGCTTGATCTTATGACCTTGAGATCGTGACCTGAGCCAAAACCAAGAGTTGGATGCTTAACTGACTGAGCCACCCAGGTGCCCCTCCCCACCCCACAAGTGTTTTTAACTGAGCATTTTATATGATTCTGTTTTCTCCCCTTCCTTAGCATATCAGGTAAGATGTTCTTTTCCTTTGGCTTTTTCTTTTTTTAAGGTTATTAAATTCCAGGTAGTTAACATACAGTATAATATTAGTTTCATGTGTACACTCTAGTGACTCAGCACTTCCATACATCACCCGGTGCTCATCACAGTAAGTGTATTCCTTAATCCTCAGGGCTTTTTCTTTATCTTTGATTTTTTATAGTTTGTAAATAACATGCCTACATGTGGTTCTTTGGCATTTGTCCTTTTTGGTGTTCTCTGAGCTTCCTGAATCTGTGGTTTGGTGTCTGACCAATGTCTGAGAAGCTTCTCAATCATTATTGTTTTTAATATTTCTTGGGTTTCTTTCTTTTTTTCTTCTCCTTCTGGTATTCCCATTGTGCATATGTTACACATTTTACAGTTATCCTACAATTCTTGGATATGTTGGGGTTTTTTTTTTTTCAGTCTTTGTTCCCTTTGCTTTTCAGCTTTGAAGTTTTCTGTTGAGATAACCTCAAGCTCAGGGATTCCTCCTCGTCCATGTTCAGTCTACTAATAAGCCCATCAAAGACATTTTCTGCATTTCTATTACAGTGTTTTTGATCTCTAGCACTTCTTTTTGATTCTTTCTTAGGATTTTCATCCTTTTGCTTACATTGCCCATCTGTTCTTGCATCGCTATTTTATCCATTAGAGCCTTTTGCATATTAATTGTATTTGATTTCAGTTTCCAATCTGATAATTCCATGCCGTGTCTGGTTTTGATATTTGTTCTGTCTCTTCAAATTGTGTTTTTTGCCTTTTGATATGCCTTGTAGTTTTTTCTTGATTGCCAGACACAATGTACCAGGTAAAAGAAACAGTTGTAAATATGCCTTTATTTTTTTTTATTTTTTTTATTTTTATTTATTTATTCATGAGAGACAGAGGGAGAGAGAGAGAGAGAGAAGCAGAGGGAGAAGCAGGCTCCCAAGGAGCAGGGAGCCCGATGCGGGACTCGATC